CACACCCCGGCGTAACCACACCTTTTGTAGTCGCCGGTCTTGAAAGGTTCTCGGACGGGGCTGGGCGTCTTCTCATGTTCCAGGAGCTTTCCCGCCTCGGGGTGTGTTTCAGCAGCTACGTCTCGCCGAGCGTCGTGCCTGGGGTGCCCGAATCGTCCCGAGCGGCTGCCGGAGACCCGAACTACCAGCCGACAACCGAACGGGGGGGGGATCGGCACGGGGGTGGCGGGGGACATCGGCCCAGAGTCGGTGGTGCATCGCGGACAGATGGGCGATGCGCCACCGATAGCGAAGCCGCACGTCCTGGGCGGGGTGGGCCATCGGGCCCCTCTCGGCGATGAGTGGGCGATCGAGGGTAGATGCGTCCCTCCTCCTCCTCCTCCTCCTCCTCCTCCTCCTCCTCCTCCTCCTCCTCCTCCTCCTCCTCCTCCAAGCACGGATGAGCAACGCATACCACTGCCGCCCTCACCAGGCAAGGGATCCTCCAAGGCTCTGCAGCCTCCTGAGTACATTCTTCAGCGAAAGCCCCCACCGCATGGCCCCCACAACCCGGTGCTCCAGAGATGGAGTCCTGAGGGAGGGGATCCTGAGGACGAGCTGCCTCAGACAAAGCACATCCACCCTTGCATCCCTTCCTATCCTGAGGACCCCATCCCTCAGGACCCCATCTTTGACCACTGCATTGCCCCCGCGACGCTGCCCCAAGAGGAGGAGGAGGAGGAGGGGGGCGGAGGAGGAGGACAAGAAGGAGGAGGAGGAGGAGGAGGAGGAGGGCGGAGGAGGAGGAGGAGGAGGGCGGAGGAGGAGGAGGGGGAGGAGGAGGAGGAGGAGGAGGAGGAGGAGGAGGAGGAAGAGGAGGAGGGACGTCCGCCACGACGGTGCCCCCGGCCGCCGGCGCCCAGGTGCCCGCGCACGTGAGGAACGCGGGCTGCGCCGCGAGCTGCCTCAGCCGGCGCTCCTGCTCGGCCCCAGACTGAAGGAGCCCAGGGACACGCAAATAAATACACACGAACAACACCACTCCCCATGTTTTCCGATATTTTCTGGGTTTTTGTCTTCCCCCCCACTTCCCATATTTTCCCATATTTTCTTGGGAGTCGACGATCACTTGCGTCTGTGTGTTACTTGCCCTCCTAATACACGCAGGAGGGACCTCGGGCGGGAGTTGGGGAGACGTGCACGTCGGTCGGAAGGATCGTTACAGGCTCAACGACTTCTGCCGTCCTTCGGCTCGCGCTGGAGCGGCCGCGAGTTGCTCCAACTTTCCCTGGAGGCTGGATCTGTCTGGCTTTACCCAGATTTATCTCGATGTAACTGGATGCACCTGGATTCAGCTCGATCCATCTGCATTTACCTGGATTTATCTGGCTCGATCCCCACAAGTCGATTGGCGAAAAGTCGACAAGGCCATAGGGAAACGAGCAGGTCAGAGCATGAAGTAGGAAGGCGGATAAAGCAAATTGGGTTGAGGCCCTCCCGGAGAATAGCAAACACACAGCCAGAACGTGTCGATTCTTGAAGTAGGAGGGCGCTTAAAATACATTGGGATCTGGGAAGCCAAGAATACCTGCTCTAAACGACCGGCGTGTAAGACTCGGGTTCGGGGGACTCGGATTGGCCTGACGGGGCCGCCAAGAAGATGGTGAGACCCAGTCTGAAAGTTGACGTGAGCTCCCGCTGCACACCTCCCACGAAATTGGAGCCGTCTGAATCCAGGGGCTCGTCAAAAAGCGTCGGCAAGACCGAGTTCCAGCGAACTCATGCCTTACGTTTCCCCGAAGAAGTAGAAGCCTCCCAGGTGGGGTCAGAGCAGATGGCGTCGTAGGATCGCGCGTCATCGACGATGCCTGAGCGGTGCATCGGCGATGCACCAGCGCCGTCGGCTATGCATCGGCGACGGCGGGGTGGAGAAAATCGGGCTCCACTTCGAGCCGCATCGCCGATGCCGGCGATGCGGCGCGATCCTCCGACCCCACCCACTCCGACCCCAGCCGAGAAGCCTGGACGGAGGGACCTCTGATGCGCCGCGCTGGAGGGTCGCCGGGGGGCCACGGCTGATCGCGCAGGCCAGTGCTGGGAAGACCCCCGTGGGCCCGCACCCAAGGTGCCAGACCCCGGAGGAGGAGGAGGAGGAGGAGGAGGAGGAAGAGGAGGAGGAGGAGGAGGAGGAGGAGGAGGCCCCCGGCGTCATGACTTTTCATCACGTCGACCCCCAGAGGTCTGGACCCATTCACGCAGACCAGTTTCTCGTCCTGAGTCCTGTTTCGGCAGTCCCGAGGCACAGTGAGAGCCCCCAGAGGCCGAAAATAACAACAACAGCAGCAGCAACAACAACAACGACAGCAGCAGCAGCAGCAAAAACACAACAGCAAAACAACTACTACACTACTACTACTGCTGCTACAAGTATTAACTACTACTACTACTACTACTACTACTACTACTACTACTACTACTACTACTACTACGACTACTACTACTACGACTACTACTACGACTA